TTTATATCATAATTATCATTAAGAAGACAGAAACCAGGATTCGGAACATAAAAAATGTCAAGTATATCCGCTAAAGATGAATTTCCATGTAACCAGAAGTTAGAAATAACTGGACACTCCCCAAAACATGTGTAAAAACGTTCCAGGTGAAGCAGTGTTACATATATGACAGTTGTGAGTAGGTTGTAATTTCATCTGGAATCTCCTATAAGGTGTGATGTAGGCTCTATGTACTGTTTTGAAGTGTATTAGTTGGTGCGCTAGGTTCTTAGAAGTTATACTTAGGTTATACCATATTCTTCCCAATCTAGGTTTACATTAAACTCCCCAACTCCGTGTTCCATATGGATTCAATTGGTAAAGTTTTGGCCCTATGCTGAATCAGTGCACTATATATTAAAGAGACAGAAGGTCTGCCCAGTAATGGTGCAATCCATTGTAACATGGGATGCGAGGGGAGAGAAGAATTCCAGGGAACTCCATACGTTTTTAATGCTGATCTTAGCTGAAGATAAACAAAATAAGAGGACGCAGGAAGATAAAAACGTCTTCTTAAATCTTGAATGGATATATATATCACCTAAAGTATTCACCCCCAATCACAGCCTTTTCTGAGGGAATATCAAATGAGTTTTTGGTTGCACATCGAGGGCTTTATGTGTTTCCATCGTAGTTTATGTGCAAAAAATATCTGCCTTAATTGAGCGCATAAGTTTTGTGTGGCCATCTTGGTGTTTCCATGATATCCCAAAATTCACATAAAATAGGTGGATAGAAACATCAGCAAAGGAATCACATTCACGACTTTTTTTTGCTGTGGTGCAAATGAATCTACAGCGACGGAGTAGATTTATAGGTGATATTTATGTATGACAGAATATCACAATATGACAGAAATTTAGTTACTTTCAGCTAAATTTCCCCTAAGCCTCATTCATTTTGGACTCTCTACATCCATCATGCATTCAACTCTCATTCTTATTTCTTAAAAAAGGACTGAAAAGATTTTGGTCATGGCTATTTTACATTCGTAGTCTTGCCTCACAGTGCTGGTGGGAGACATGGCGTGATTACATAACCACGGCACAATAGCAAGCGCACAATAATGAAGGCTTTCAGCAGATCTCTAATCACGGGTCAAACTCCGTTCCTCTTACACACTCTTGCCCTGATTACGAGACATGCACACCAAGGCACACATCAACCAACTTCTGTTGGTCCATCTTCCTGTCACAGTAAACCAGTAAACCTCAGTCGTAACATGGCAACACTTTATCAGATTTCAGTGGAATAACTACAAGCTTGTTAAAAGCCATTTCTCACACCTTCAACTGACAAGTATTTTTGGAGAAAAAGCATTAACGTATTACGCGGTACTTTTAACGGCCAAAAAACCCCACATGCCCTAATACTAGAATAACTCTCCTTCCAACTAACTGCAAGTCGAAATTTGAAAAAGCTCTAAGATCATGGAATTAAAGTACATTTGAGTTGATTTGAAAACCGTCCAGCTGTTACACAACGAATGAGACTGTGGTGAAAGTGGGCGCTAACACAAATTGTTTTAAAGGTTAATTTCCTGGCATCATCGATCACGTCCTTCAAAACTTGTAAGAAATTCTTAGCGAATACAACAGATTGCGATTGTAAGTATAATGTTGGAAAGCTTGTCTCTGCCATAGAATAAAAACAATTTAAAAGATAAGCCTTTTTATCTCACAGTTCTGATAAAATAACTCAGAATTGCGAGAAAAAAAGTCAGAAATGCTAGTTCTAATGTAAGAATCGGAATAAATTCACAATTCCGATTTTTTTTTTCACGCAATTGCACGTTTTGAGAATTGTGAGACTCGCAATTGCAAATTACAAAGTCCAATTCTGCGGGGAAGAATACTTTTTTTCTGAGAATTTAGAGTTTTTATTTGACAATTTATGACTTTATAACTCTGACTTTACTCGCAAATGCAAGAAAAAAAAGAAATGTGAGATAAAAACTCACAATTACATTTCTTTTATTTATTTTGAGGTGGAAACAACCTTCCATAAATAATGTCACCTTCCACTTTTTATTGCATCATTTTTCCATTCAATGAAAACGAACGGTGACTGAGGCTATCACCATCTAACATCTCTTTCAGTGAAAGTCATTAGTGTCATAGGCTACTACAGGCTTTTGAGGTGACCATCTCTATAAGGTATGGTAAAAATAACGCGATGTAGCGGTCCCAAAAGTAACGTACACATCATCGATTAATAAAAGCGCAACACAAAGCCGCTCGCTCTATTCTAACGTACGGTCACGCGCCACACCCACGTAGACATGGCGCTCTCTACACACATCCAGTATGCCCTCCAGTCTCATTTACTGGATTTACTCTGTTGTATGTATTACCGGTACTTTATACCTCTCTCGATCGAGATAAACCAATCTTGATCACTTAAGGAATGCTACCTAATTCACGTGGCCCATTTAAAGAGCACCACAATGTCGTGCTCATTTAAGTCATAAATACAGCACACTGCAAGCCTCAAACACCCTCGTACCAAACAAAAGCGTCGAGTTTGTTCATACTGACCTCAGACATGGTTACAGATGCTTCAGTCTGTTGTTAAAACGATGCGCTTTAAACCCGCTGTGAGTGAATGGCAGCAACACTCTGAGGATCGCCGTACTATACGCACGTGGCCACGCCCCCTTCACGCCATTGGCTGCTGGAGCATGTACCGAGACACCTGTCCAATCAGATTGACGAAATTGTAGGTTCTTGTAACTGGCCACAGGGTCACACCGGGGATGCCAGATTGAGAGTTCTGTGGAAATGTAGAGATGGCCTTAATTCAATTCAAACAGACATTTCCATATTGCAACAGAGGCTCCTTTTGTACACTGACGTGTCTTTTGATTTGTATCAGTGGTTTTGCATTTGTTTGTTTGGATAAACAACTGATCCTTGATTTGCATCCAGATATTTTCTGTAACGGCTTTATTTATATCTGTAATTTATAAAAAGTTTTGTGGTAGGCTACCTGATGTTTTTTTTCATGATTTTTTTTCATGAAGCTTTTTTGGTAAGCCATCAAGGCTGTAGATATCTGCAACTAACTCGTCTTACAGACATACTGTGACTTTACAAAGTTCGGAAACTGGTACACAGTGTTTCCCAACCCTGTTCCTGGCGGCACACCAACACTGCGCGTATTCTTTGTCTCCCTTATCAAACACACCTGATTCAACTCATCGGCTCATAATCAGAACCAAAAGAATTTTTACTTAGGCCTATTGGAATCAAAATTCAGGAATCGATAAGAATCAGAACTTTTAAAAATCAAATGAATCAATCACTCCAGAGAAAGTCATATTTATAAGCTACCACTACCAGAGTCTTGTGCAAAAACATATGAAGCTAACCCATGTTCTGTCATGTTCCCCTAGATCATGAATTTTAAGTTCTATTGTTGAAGATTTTGTTTTATTTATCCCATTTGGAAAGTGTTCAAATTATATTTTTGGCATTCCATTTCTGACAAGTGTGAATATAATTATAAGTGGTTATAAAATAACTCATAAAATAAGCCATAGAATAAAAAAATGTAACGGATTGCATTGTTGTGGTGTGGAAACATTTGTTTTTCTTAACCACTAGTTCCACAGTGAGGGAGTCACCATAGACATACACTGGACATCACCTTGGATACGGCAGTTCATTGGAACGAATGCGTCAATAGAGCCGCCATCTTGAAACAGGGGAGCCCCTCCGCTTAATGCATCAGCGTCAATAGTAGACACAGGTCTAACAGAAATAAAATCACCATAAATCATCATGAATGCGATTTTTCTTGTTTTTTTGGTTTGTTCCAACGGTCAGACATGTATTTATCATTGATTACAGAAAGAATTTTTTTTTAAAACATTCTTCCAAGTTCAGATTTCATCCGTGAACATCAGTTCTATTGCTCTTGCCTGATACTGCTGTGCTGCCGGAAGTACAAGAAGAAGAAGAAGATACTGCTGTTGCCTGCGATCGACGCATCATACAGCGACTGGTTTGGTCTAGACTTTCACTTCTCAGAACATGCTGGAAATAAACGCTTTAAAATTGTTATTATAAAAAATAGAAGTAACGTAACGCTAAATAGCGAGGAGCTCCTTGTTAATTTGTTAATGTACATGTCTGTACGCGCTAACCCCCGTGTGTGTTTTGCGTGTAGTTTGAGTGATTCTGCCTGAGAGGATGTGTGATCGCGCGGTTCTGACGCTTCGACTGGTTCGGTCCTTCGAGCATCGCAACTTTAAACCGCTGGTTTTCAAAGACGTTGATTTAGACCAGACCGTGGAGGAGTTTATTACATTTGCTAAGCAAGGTAGACACGATGACAACGGGTTGACATAATTCTCATGACTCATGAGTAAAAAGTAAATCAGCTGCTTCATAACATTGACAAATATGAATAACTAGCACTTTTCTCTTTGAAGAAGTTTCAACCAGAGCTGGATTGCCTCCTCCCTTCAAGCAGTTTGACTATGGTAACCTAAGTGTACATTATGCTCAACTTTCCCCCATACAGTAAAAGAAGCCGTATTGCTTTATCCTGTTGTTGTATTGCTGCAGATACGATGAAAATCATACACCAAGCACACGGAGCAAAGGTAACTTTAAACATTCACTTGTGGCATAAATTTGCATGATAGCACAAGTCTATTTGATGTGATGTTTACATCTGGAAGACGTAGTTTTTCAATCTACAATACATCTATAGGACGTTTCCTGATGTCAAATAGACGTTTAGAAGAAGTATGCATTCTAAAACATTACATCTTAAAGACATCTATTTGACATCTGACAGGACACGTCCTATAGTAGACGTATTGCAGATGAGTAAACACTCTTAAAAATACGTCTTCCAGATGTAAACACACATCAAATAGACTTGTGCTATCTGGGATTGCTGTTGGGGGAAAGTGCTGTAGGCTATTTGAACTGTATTCAGTCATGTGAAGTAGAGAAGCAGGGCGATGTCTTTACAAACACGATCTTATTCTTAAATGTCAATCTGTGGGAGAGTTCTCATGTGTGAAACCATTTCACAAACTGTCTTTTTAACCTAGGTCGGATATAAACATGATGTCTAGTGATCAAAATTAATCACATTTTTAAAGTAACTTGACGATTTAAATAATGATTGTACATTGTTACGCCAGTAGGTGGCGACAAGAGACTGTTAGAAAATAAGTTTGTCACAAGCTGTTTATGTTCACTTAATTTCATGGGAATTTTGGGATATTGCATAAACTGCTGGATGGAAATGGCAAGGTGTGTATAAATAATAATAATAATAATAAAAATTCACACACGGCACGCACGCACAAAAAAAGGCAAGGCAAGGCAAGTTTATTTATATAAACTCACTGGATGGAGATTCTGCTTTTTTATAAAATGTTTTATGCAATATTCCCAGGATGCGCTTGAGATAAATTCGCAATTTAGGATGGCAACATAGCTATTGAATCATTCATTCAAGAGATTTGTTTAATTATGGCAATGAATAGCTTTAAAACAAAAGGAAATATAATTATGATAAATATGAATAAGATATTTTTTTGATGATTTCAGACGAATGAGCTTGTAATGAGCTTAGAGGACGATGAGAAGTTGATTCTGCGTGATGGCTGCAGGTTACGAGCGTGTGCGGTTGGTATGTCAAGCATATAATACAACTATATATATATATATAAAATTTAAACCTGATTTACTTTTTGTGTACCTGCTGAAATCTTTTTCAACACATTTCATCTCTTCACAGCGAATGAAACAGAACTTGCCTTCTTCAAAATGGCCGACTATAAACAGTTCAAGGCCAATCCACACACAGAATGGTGATGGCCATCAGGATCCAACACCAGAGGCGCTTCTTTTCGGTTGTGATGTGGGATTGAAACACATATTTTAATTAGATCTATAGCTTTACTTTTTATATTGTAGTCTTACAATTCATATGTTGTCAGCACAGTTTCAAATATGCAAGTACAATTTTGAGTGAAAATATTTTTTGTTTGAACATTCTTACGTAAGAATATTCTTCTTTTCTTTCAGAGCAAAATGTGTGTGTTGAGTACCAGTTATTTAAGTGTTTTTTATTTTATTTTATTCTTCAGTGAAAACAAATCACGTACCAGAAATCTTGTTTAATTTAAATGACACATTGTAAGTTGTTTGCTGTTTTTGTTAAATAAAGTTATAAATCATGCTTTCACAACACTAGAAATTTTATTGATTGAAAGTTCCTGTATAATATCCACAATAACTGAAGCCAATCAGTCAGGCCGAGGAAAAGTGAAATGAAAAATGTAAGTTTATCAGAGCAAAATATGCAGTCCACACAATTTTTTTTTGTGCATTTATAAACAGACATTAAAATTAGGGCTGCAACAACTAATCGATAAAATCGATTATAATCGATTATGAAAATCGTTGTCAACGAATGTCATTATCGATTAGTTGGTCTGATTACGTCACGGGGATTGTTTACATGGAACATGCGCTTCTTACATGCGCTTCATGAGGCGCACATGCAGTCTCTCTCCCTCGCCGCTCTACCCTGTCTCGCACGCGCAACACCGACTGTTTGAACGGAGCACATTATCTTCTGTCTCGCGCGCGCAACACGGACGGTTTGGAGCACATTATCTTCTGTCTCGCACGCGCGCTCTTGATTCCGTGAGTTTGAACTAATTTGCGGGCATCAGGAAACCGCTATCAATATGCAGCATACACGAAAATCATTCACCTTTCGGTAAATTCGCCGTTTTAAAACCAAAATAGGTGACCTACGTTAATCGTGTATACTTTATGAAGCCATACTATAGTATAATGTGAGATAGAAATGTATATTTAAGTCATTAAATTCAAGTTAACCTAAGCTTTTCCCTCCACTGCGGCTGTCAGTCATTCTCTATTCGGTGTTCAAACAGCGCGTCGCGTTATAACAGTTAAAATGATGATCTCTTTCCAAGATGATTCAATGTTATTATTATAATTGATCCGTAGATAAAGGTCTATGATGGTTTTTCTATCTTGCTAGACTTTTATTGCTGTAACTTAATCACTTTCTACTGAGTGTCTGTTCGATCACAACACTATAGAGTCGGCGCAGTATAATTGTTCTTCACGTGCACAATAGCCTAACTGAATTTTAAAACTGTCAAAAGAAAAGGCTTAATAAACTATTGCATAGATACTGTATAATACACAGTCAGTATGTCTTTCTCTTTACTTGGTGCTTTTAACTTTAATGCGGCGGACACTGAAGAGCTGCGCGCCGCCCTGTGACTCCGTGTGGCTTCAAGCGCATCATTCAGTGCTCGCGGTGCGCATTTGCACTCTGTGCAGCTCTTTCATGATCATGTCATAATACTTTTGCGCAATGAAAGCTTATTAATAGCCTTTCTTGTTCTGTCCTATCTATTATATTTTGCTTCCTCACTAAACAGCTGTGCTTTACATTTAAAACAGTTGTGCATCTGATTTTTACGATGTTTTTCATGAATGTATAACAAGAATACAAAGAGCAATGTGTACGTTTTACCAGAGTAAGTGCTACACTTATTGTCTCTTATTTGTTCCCCACTAAGGAATGTTTTTTTCACTAAATGTTCAGATTTTATAAAATTATTGTGCACTTGTGATATTTCTAGGCTAAGTTTTGCTGAGTTATCCACTAATCTAGTTTACAATAGCATTTTTGTCATAGGTTATGGTCATATATATTTTTTTTATTTGTTGTTTTTCTTTATAATGAAGTTTAACACACAAAAGAGTGTGGTTTTTAGGGTTTTATTTTGTTACAATAAACAAAAAAAGGAATATAATTTTTTATCCGATTAATCGATTAATCGAAAAAATAATCGTCCGATTAATCGATTATCAAAATAATCGTTAGTTGCAGCCCTAATTAAAATACTTGTTTCTTTACATTTAATTACAAGCTTTGTTTACAACAGTTTACTTGCATTAAATGCAAAGCAATTTCTGTCATTATTATTACTCTGTATAATGTAGGCCTCCCTGTTACAGACAGAGTTTACACAGTAACTGGCCCAGAGGAAGAACAACTGAAGTATTGGGATTTGGTAATAATATAAGGCACATATGAAGTCCACTCCGTGATTTGGAAAAGTTGAGTCTGGAGTTATTTAAGGCCAGAATACCTCGGCACGATATCCCTTTCAGGTAAGGCTGACTCAAACTAGTCAGATTTTGACCAGTCTTAAAATACTTCATAAACATGTTCCACTTTTTATTCTGCCCTTAGACTTTTTTAACCTGCATGTTTAAACTGTTGGGCACTGCAACTGTATATCCGCGTATCACTTCATCCTATAATAAAAGTCCTCCTTATATTCCTCCTAGTACTTCTTCTCAGACTTCCTATGCTATTCCATCATCCGCCACATGAGTCTGTAAGACTGGACAGTTGCGTTTGCTCTCCCATCCGCGGCGGATCCGTGCCAGTCTGATGGAGATGCATGGCAGCAGCAGAACGGCTCGGCACAGCAGGACGACGCAGGGCAGAGCCACGGCCAACACAGAACTGGGTGGCATGTAGAACGGGTACGCCTCGATGTGGAAGACGAGATCCCAACCAAAGAAGAGCGTGTGCATGATGGACAGAGTCAGAGCTATGTAGCCCAAACCTGACTGAAGGAAGAAGAGAGATGAAACTTCAAATTTAGTAAATGTTAAAAAGCTGCTATTGTGCCTGTATGTTGAATGTTCATTTGCGTGCTAATCAAAGACATTGCCAAAATTATGTACATTTAAAATCATGTCACAGTATCTGTTTTTTTTTTTAAGGCTCTCCATCCAGAACAACATTTTCATGTTTCCTACTAGCCTAAAAGTCGACTATCACAACACGACATCATGACTTTTGCGTAAACATACACGCCACTTTCGCGCCAGGTGGCGTATTATCTCTACGCATTTTGAGCTATCCGCGTGTATGCGTCTACGCCATTAACGTCCGCGTCATTCCGCGTGTCTGTACACGCAGTCAAATCTCCAGTCATAAATGCCATTAACCCCAGTGACGGTTAAGTTTAGGGATGGGGTTGAGGTAAGTCATATCTTTTTCTTTCCTAGGATGGTAAGGGAACAGTCATAAATGCCATTAACCCCAGTGACGGTTAGGTTTAGGGACGGGGTTGAGGTAAGTCATATATTTATATAACGTTAAGTCAACGGCGTTCATAAACACGCTGAAAGGCGATTATGCGTCTTGATAGCATGCCAAAAATGGAAATACGAATTGGCGTGTCATACACACGCTATTTCATGAGATCAGTCTGACTATCAAGCAATTAATGCACCAAAACTAGCTGGGTATATAACTAAAATCAACATGTAGCGCAGCAGATTGTGCATTTAAGTGTACTTTGGTGGTTAAGCTACCAGGTTTCAACTAGGCCTTTATGCTAACAACCATTTATTTTTTGGAGTTGTTCAACTCCCAAAACTGGAGACCCAGTTTCTCAATATGCGATCTTGCGTCCTTGCGTGTTCTCGTTCTACGTCATCATCCTATGTGAAAGACTGATTCAAATACTCCAGAACGCAAGTACAGAGGACGCATCAAATCACCTGGATGTGTTCTTGATATTATGGATGCAAATAAGGCAGACTTTAGAGAATCGAACAGTTAGAAATCAAAAAAAGCCATTGTTGTCGGAAGCCTGTGAGTTTTCAACTTCTCTTTTTCCTCACTTTACACGGGAGATTCCCGCTGCAAGCTCAGAAACGTGGCGGCTTCTGAAATATTTTTCATACTCATTTGCAAGCATACACAAAGTCAAATTAAAAGATCTATGATGATGTGCTAGTAAATCTGTTAAAGCACCCCTGTTGTGAAAATTAAGCTTTTTAGTGTTGTTTATATGTCTGTGTTGTTTCAAACCATGTGCAAGTTCATAAGTCGACAGCATTACTTAGTATTTTCTTTTTTAAAGAGTAACTAAACACTAAACCAACTTTTTTTAGTTATGATCTGTAAGAATGGATCTTTATTAATACCAGTCATTGATTCGAGTAACTTTTTTGACATTTGTTTATAAAGTGTTTTATTTCTACAATATATGGTGTAAAAGCGTCTTAGTGCTGCCCTCTTCAGGTTGAACGATTGCTACTGCAGTTGAATTTTCCTAAGAAAATTCAAGAAACTTCCTAATGGAGTTACATGACGTCTTGGGATGAGACTGTGTTACTTTGGCAATATATCACATGCGATCTACTCGTGAACTGTTAATGTGCCTCCAGGAACAGAAATGGGAAACACCTGTATGTTTTGCATGGGCTCACCTGTACAAAGGTAAACTCTCTCCAGTTGAGGGTGTTTCCCACTGAGGGAAGGGAAGTGATGGCCAGTAAAGAGAGGACGCCCAGGCCCAACACTCCACAAGAGAGGTACAGTTCAGATCGCCAAACTCCCAGCTCATCCCAGGGCTCCTCTACGCCTGCTTTCACCTGATGCGTTCAGACAAAACATAGCATTCACTATGCTTTTGGGTAACACTTTAGAATAATGTCCCGTCATTTAAGTAACTATGCAGGACTAATGAGTAGCACTACATTAACACTTCAGCTACTACTATTAACTAATAAAGAAACCAGCTTTAATGTAGTGCTACTCATTACTTCCTGCATAGTTACTTATGACGGATTGTTATTCTAAAGTGTTACCTGCAACTAAACATCTCAAGATCTTTACTCTCAGTGTTTTTTGTAAGTGCACCTGTCTGTAGGCAGTATTGACGAGCCTGTGCAGTGTGATTCTGCGCAGCGGCTGGCAAAGGCTGTAGACACCATGCAACGCTGCACACAGAAAGCTCAACAGGCCCAATTGTTTCCTCCGCTGCAACCAGTAGTCCAACCATGATGGGAAACGCTGGTATTTGGTGCCCCTCCAGAGCTGCAACCACGCAGCAAACAAGCCTGGTAAGTATACAAGTGCCAGGGTCACCAGGGCCACTGCTGGCAGGCTCTCATTCACCAGACTGAGGGCGAGACGGTAGAAAGCATTGTGTCCTTGTGCAAGAAATGGCAGCAGAATTCCCCGCAGAAAGCCATAGCCGTAGAAGAAGAAGAAGAGGAGGAAGGTGACAATGATCGCGCCGCTCCAAGATGGGAACAGGCGCAATGATGCAACCTCAATTTCTCGAGCAGCAGACAAGCCGCCCACATCCAGCGGGTGGAAGCCCATCTTCCGAACCAACTCCACAACTTTCCTCTTCCCCTCAGTACTGTTACTGCAGATCAGGACCTACAGCATTGAAAGGAGCAAAGAAAAAAAAAGATTTTTGCTTCTTGTTCGAATTGCTTAATTAATATGACGTCATTTTCCGTCATAAAATTGTACTTTTTTTTAACTCGTCCTAGACGGTTGCTCCGATTTTCAAGAAAAACCATGCTGCCAAAAAGTTACGGAATTCAAGTTGATTGGTCCAACTCGAATATGGCGTAAACTAATTTTAAGCAGCACGTGCGAAAACATACGTAAGGCTGTATCTCCACACCGCTTTTAGCCTGACTTCGTCATACTCATATTCTAGTGAGAATATGAGTCTGAAACTCCTCCATAGGGCTTTGATTATGAGGCGTGTCTTAACCAAACCAGGAAAAAAAAACCTCTGCACTCAATTGGATAGTCGGTAGACCTACAACCAATCAGAGCAACGCAGTAAGTCAACTACTTTGCATGGCGCAGTTTTCAACTATAGAACTTACTTATTTTAGAAGTAAAATAACGAGTGTTGCTTCTTTTACTTGGTACTCCATAGTGTGCGACCAAAGGAAAAACCACAACGACCACAGGCTTTTCATTACGTCCCATCTTCTTAGCGACCGTCAGAGCCAGCTGATAAGTTACACTTTTCCCGAATCAGGTAGGAAGGACGCCAAAATCATCTTTCCAATCGACAAATGCCTTGATTGTAGTTCTCTGTTTGTCTATTAAAATGAATGTGCTGTCGATTTATTTTACAACAGACGCGACAGCGGAATCTATACATCTCAATTCTCCAGCTGCAGTCATCTCTGAGGGAAACCAGTTAAGCGCTCTTTGATAACGTGATGATTACGTCCCAGCAGATCATCTGTCCATCATCGTATAAAGCCCGCCCTGGCAATTTGATTGGCCCGAACGTTTCTTGTATGGTCATAATTACTCCTCAATGGATCGAGTCCACACCGAACTTCCCGACCAAAAAATATTGTGGGCGGAGTTCGGGCTTGCATCCAGGCTACAACGCTTTATCATATTCAGACAAAACTTGGTACATGTCATCACAAGCATGACCTGAGGCAACATGCTACGTTTCAGTACAGCGCCACTTACTTGTCCACAGATACAAAAAATTGCTATTTTGCTTATAACTTCTGAACGGTTTGTCTAAAAATCATAAAAGTGGTCTCATTAGATATGGGGTGTCATGCCGAGTTGAATGATATCCTATTTGCCCATAACAGCCATTTTGAATTTTGTACTAAAACGCTGTATTTTATGAACGCATGAACGTATCGTTACAAAACTTGGTATGGGTTATCGGTACGATGCCCTGAAATGTGGTTGACTTCACAGGAGTCATTTCCTTATATTCCCAAATCCTTGGAGAGTCCAACGATGCCAAACATGCTAGGTTTTGTCTTATTGTTAGTGCAACGTTGTGACTTAGAGCTTTAAAAAAACTTGCGAATATCTTTGAAACCGTTAATCCGATCGAGACGAAACCACCGTAGGAAATTCGTAAACATAGTTCGCTGGCTATTCGCTAATGCCCAAATGTTAAAATTTTGATAGTAAGTGGCAAAATAACTAAACAAATTATGTTTGTTTACCTTAATTGGTTCATGCGGGACCGATGTACAATATTAAATCATGTAAATCTAACACAGCTCAAATACCCCTGCGCTAGTTTTCAACAGATACAGATAGCATAACAGTAGCCCTGACCTGTCTGCTTCCATCATGAGGTCCAGTCTGCAACTCCCAGGCTGAAACTGTGTTAAATCCTTTGACCACCAGACTGTCTGGAAACAGTTCAGCTAGTCGCTCCGCATTGGAAGGCCCATGGATTTTCATCTCTGCTGCGTTACTAACATCCACAAGCACTTTCCCTGCAAGTGCAGACTGTAGTCCCAGCAGGGAGCGGTAATGCTCAGGGAACAAGGCCATAAACACCACACACACTGCTTGTGATGCTGCCCCCTCCTGGTTCCTCAACTCCACTGCATCAGGAAACAGTCCTGATGGGATGCGGTTCACACACCGACTCCCGACCACCACGCGAACACCACAAGCTAGCAGCCGCCGAGCCAGCGAGCGGGAATAGTCTCCGGAGCCGAGTATGGCCACCGTTTGGCTGGTTAGACACACACCCGGTGCATCAGCAACTTCAGAGTCTGAGAGCAAGGGAGTCGTCAGATCTTCTGCCATGATCAACCTGAGATGCAGATTGTGAGGAAATGATATAATTATGCATTTCATACTGCTGTACCATTAAACTTTAAAGCATATTTGATATATTATTATAGGTTCAATACTTGTGTGTAATTAACTTGTTTTAAATTTCTTATAAAAATATTGGTAACTCATATAGGGAATTCAGATTATCTATTCTTCAAATGTATAAGAATATATTCATTGGTTCCATGTGATTCAATACTTAATGTATAATAATATCCTTTTTGTGATTCTCTTAGTATTTTACATTAATAAGGTTTGTACTTCTCTATAGGGATTATTTGTTTTTGTTCTGATTTTTGTCAAATGAACAAACAAAAAACACATTACGTGTGTGTAATTATACTAATTAACTTTTTTATTGCAATAAAACATTGGTAACACTTACTTTTAATGTGTCCTTGTTACATGTGACATGTATTTACTATAGTACTATAGTATTTACTATAAGTAGGCTTAGGCCTAATTACATGCAATTAACCCTAAACAAATACTTAATCCTAAACCTAACCCATACATGAAGTTAATATTACTCAGTACTTAAATTTATATTTACACTATAACAGGGACACATTAAAATAAAGTGTAACTAAAATATTTGTGCCCATGTCACCATATCAAAATGATTATCATTCCATAAACGCTCTATGATTTCCCTTTCTACAGCAAAACAGGAATATATATAAGTATACACTGTCCATTGATTTTCTCAATTTTAAACTCAACCATTCAACCCATAATTACCCTTTACATGACTGATTTGCCTATAAAGACTAGTGGATTATTGTTTTGTTTATTTTAAATACATATTTGGATGACATGTTATTGTTGTGTAAGTATTTTATTATTAGGCTATAGTCGTCGTTGTTGAGCATGTTAGAAGTTAATATTTTTGTTCCTTCAAATGAGTTGTCAGTAAGTTTCGTTTCTGCTAAAGGGGTGCTATAGACAAACATGCTCAATTACTCAGGGCAAATGCTAAAATTACATTCTGTAACTTTTACATTCCTTTACATAATTATTTAGAGTTCATTTCGGAAAATCCATTATACTGACTAAATGATTTAACGCGCACTCACCACTTCCAAACAACTTTCTCTGGCGGTTCTTGGACTGTGCTGATCCAGGACGGTGCGCGCTTCCGTCACTGTGCAATATAGACACGAGACCGTGCAGAATAAGACATTCCTTATCATTCACACACCATGCTATCTGTATAGAACACATGGGAGCGTTGCGACGCGGCGCGTTGCGTTCTGGAGTCGAGTTTACAGCGGATTGGTCCGAGTCGAGAGTGATCAATGACGTATCGAGACCCCTTATATTCCGTGTTTCTGCTTTGAGCTCCTGTGTTAGGACGACATTGAACGGAATCGTAATGCATAATAGAGGCCTCTCGTGTGAAGTGTGGCGCCTCGGCCGTCCTTGGTGGAGCTAATATAGATATATATTTTTTTTTGTTCAGCTGATCTGGATCCTACATCTGCACGGCCGCGATAACGCGAGCATGACCTCGGGCGAGGCGATTTCTCCTTCCTCGTGCAGCTCTACCCGCACGCGCACGACGGTGGTGTGTGTGTCGGTGGTCGCAGCGCTGGTTCTCGGGATCGGGATACTGAGCGCGTTGGCGGCCGGGCCGCTCCATGCGCAGTGCGCTGTCGAGTGGTACGGAACCGCAGTCATGCAACTAGGCACAGATACAGAAAATCATCACAGTTTTTTTACATTAATATCTGCATGTGTCTTAATTGCTGCTGACTCCTGATTTCTATAAACATTCAAGATATTTAAATTCTTACATTGAATTTTTTTTTCTAAATTACCTTTGTATGAAATGCCTATTAAATAAGCTATTTTTGCATATTTGATTATTTGTTCAACATAGTTATTTTTATTTATTTTAGGAAACTTGATATTCCCTGCTTTGACGTCTCCTCCCTCTTGGTCAACCAGATTAAAGAGTGGTCAACAGAAACATGTCATGGGAAGAGCCAAAGATGCCTTTATTCTGTGAGTGAATATATTATTCTATATTCTTCACATGAATATAGGCTACTGTAAAGAAAAAGACAGAAAACGGGTGCTAGGGAGCTTCCATGGGTAAATTTATGCAATTGTTTTATATAATATAAATTAAAGTATCATCAAATAATATGAATCAAGCTCACATTAAATAGTGGTTCCCACATCATATTCATTCACTAGGATATTTACATGGTAGGCCATTAAAAAATACCTTTAGTATTAACATTGAACAAATTTAAACCATGCATATTACATCACAACAAGGTGCGCTCACATTAGTTACATTTCAGCAAAATAAATAAAAAAAAGTCTATTGTCAATAGCATCAAAGCTCGCAAGTTTCTTTTGTGAATTTGCATGAGGTAAATCTGTGCAGAGAACTTTTCCGTTCTCACATGGAAATGCTACAGATTCTGAAACCACCGCAAAATTTGACCAAGCAACAGCAAATGACAGCACTTTTATAACCTTTTATAATCTCTGAAATGCTCGAAACATCCTAAACATTTCTGCCAGAAATCAAAAGCACTGCATTCATATTTACTCTATAGGAACTCAACTTGGTCTTGAAAGTATTATTTTATGTTTTGCTGCGGTCACTAGTTGAGTGAAGGTCCTGCTTCAAACTGGTAATTGCTTACATGTGATTTTGTTTCCTATCTTTAGCTGGTGTCTGTTAATGCAGAGGACATCACTGCCACACACACAACTCCCGTGATGAGGTTTGTGGATGACATCACCTTCAACCTCAGCAGTCCAGACACACACGCCTGTGATGTTCAGGTGACATGACCTTTCTTAAAGCACACACTCTACTTATAATGCTGTGTTTCTAGTGTCTTGGGAATGTCCTGACAATAATAATGACAAAATCCTAATGGAAACATTCAATCTGTCCTCAGGGCCGGTCTATCTCTCGGAGCTGGTATGCCATTTTAGACTCAGGAACAAACTACCTGAACATGTACAATCTCATGAGAGGTAAGTGCGAGAGACACATTGCTTTTGCTAAGCCTTAATTCCATTGCTGACCAATGTAGTTTCTGCAACAGTTACTGTACACCACAGTGTCAGAAAATCATTTGTTCATTTCTAAAGGAAGTCACTGTGTTTTCGTTTCTTTTCCAAATAGGTTGTTCTGTAGATTAAATTATAGTGAACATGTAGAACATAAGCACACTTTACATTTACACCAATGTACACCAATGTAAATTGATATTATTAATAATGAATTCATTTATCCATACATGGCATTAGTGTTGTTAGTGACTATTGAACATTTTGTAAAACGTTGGGAACAAGTGTGTGAAGCTTTTCTTATGTTGTTTCAAACTACTATGACTTTCTTTTTTTCTGTGAAATATAAAAAGAGAGCATTTTGAGTAGTGTACTCTCCCTCTGCAAGTAACGGGGACATTTCAAGCAAAGTCACCATAAAAGTATCACAAAAATAGCCATATTCGATGGGAGTGTTCTGAAGTCAGAATTTTATATCTTTCTTTTTCCTCTTTTTATGTCGTTTTTCACTGATGATCTGTCACTGTTGTGACTGGATCACTCAATAATCTAATCAGATTTATGAACAACTCGATCAGGGGTGCGTTTCCCGAAAGCATCGTTAGCCAACTATGGTCGCAAGTTGGTCGCAATTTCCATTGAACTCTATTGGTAACGACGGAACTTGCGACCATAGTTGGCTAACGATGCTTTCGGGAAACGCACCCCTGACCGGTTTTATAAATGAAATGATCAGACTCATACCTTCATGAATTGGACATCCCTACTTTCACATGAACCTTCATGAATGCTTCAACGAGCGGGCAGATCAATGTCAAGCTATTCACTAAATACATGTTATTCTGCTCTTCGTATAGACCCCTTTTCAGTTGGTAAACATGGTGATGTTTTTTTGTGGGCGGAGCTTAGGTGGAGGCAGAACGATCCCTCTGGCCGCTTCACTAACGCTAGTTAGCAGGGATTGTTAGCTTGTTCTTTAACGATGACTGGAGAAAATCCGATATTATCTTAATGTGTAAGGTCACTCAGTGTCCAGGACCGCGATTGTTATTTCCAAAAGTTATCTTTAACAGACGGAACCAGATTGGCCGACATGTAGCCGTCTACACGCTCACTCAATGCATGGACGATCTGACGGGATTAGCGTACGTTACCTCGGTTGAGTGGCCTGACTTCTACACCTTCCTTATGGAGAAACCGATCGTAAAGAGAAACTGAGGGCATATAAATCTTTAGATGCTGTTATGGTCCTGTACAAGACTTGTGTGTATGATCCGCAGTTCTGCAGAGCCAGCGCCAAGACCACGACAATGTAAAGAGTGACATTACAGTGCGATTTTAATGTGAATATTTTCTAGAAATAAAAGTTGCAGTGACAGCATATTCATTTTTCATTAATTCTTGCACCAAACAACACAACAAGATGACATTTATTAATAGTAACAATAATTTAACTCTCTCTCTCTCTCTCTCTCTCTCTCTCTCTCTCTCTGTTTGTTTGTTGCAGGCAGTGGTCTCTCCTCTTCTCCTACTTTCACTGAATCTACCAGCGACAGACTGTGTACTCAGTTCAGCTCCACTCGACAGACTCTTCCTCCATAAACAGCTGCACACATCTGGATCACCACATACAAACAAGATTCTAGTAGAAGTACACCTACTGTATTTTAATTAGTACATGTAAAATGTCAAAATGTTCACCAATGAATGACAAAGACTGAATTGACAATGACATCAGCGTCTATTTATTTTCCCATGTTCAGAATATGAAACGTCTCGGTTCCGTATGTAACCATCGTTCCCTGAGTAGTAAACAGAGTCGAATGACGGCGAAACGGGGTTTTGCTTAGAGAGCCTATTGACTTCGAGTATTACAAAACGAGTCAATGCCATAGCGTAAATCCGCCCCATCTCGTTGGTATAAAAGGAAAGACACTGGCAACAAGCAGATATGTTAATTCGCCGAAGAGCCGAGACTCTCTTTTTCTCACTTTTCTCTTTTTTATACATACATTAAAGGGGACCTATTATGCAAAATTCACTTTTGCATGGTGTTTGGACATAAATGTGTGTGGGCAGTGTGTGTACACAACCACCCTACAGTAATAAAAATCCACTCACTCCTTTTTTTTTAATCCCCATAAATCATGTGGCCTTCGGCCCTGCCCACAAGTGTTGATTGACACTTCCGTTATAACCCGCCCTGATCGAGCTCTCTGCGAGTTGTACACATCGGCCATTGCTGCAGCAATGCACTCACGAGAAGCGTCGAAGCATCGTGGAAGGTGTTGTAGCTGGATGTATTAATTCACATAGCTCTCTCTATTTACTGTTGAAATCTGCCAGCCACTGAAGACGAGGTGGATTCATTTTGTTTTCAAAGAAAATGCTCCCTCAACTCTACAGAAATGTATGTATAGATTTCCCAGTGGATTTCACGTTCAGACAATTCAGTTCGTCAGACGGAGTCCTACAGCAGGCTTGCATTAATAGTGTATACAAGCAATGCCAAATAGGTTATAATAGTGATTAAACTAAACTATACCTGTTCCAACTCAATACAGCATATATTCTTTATGGTTGAAATGAACACCATTACTGTGACTGTCTGTTTTATTATTATCATCTTCCCTGTCGTGTGTGTGTCGTGTGTGTTCTGTGAAGTGAAGTGACAGTGCTGCTGCTACGATCGATGCTGTCAAACTTGACATTCTTAATGTGAATAAAATGCCCCAGAAAAAATCATATAAAATTGAATAAAACATGTGTCTGCAGGCTATACCGAGTTTACAAAATAGATATTTTAATATGTTATATTAAGAAAACTAGGCCAATAAAAATAAGCTGATGTTTCCTGATCGAGCAGTTTGACCCAGCTAAAGCTTGTTCATGTAAAGTATATGTCAATATGTGTACATTATGTTCTGTTGTGCTTGCAATTGAGATAATAAATGTTCTCCCTTTTATGTAAACAAGTACATATTTCTATATTTTTTTCTTGTTTTTGTAGGCTTTGTTCTCATCTTTGTTCTCACCTTGACATTTTCTAAGTTTCTTTTTAAAAATATACTGGGCATGTTTATTGGGTTAAATTTTATCTGTAAAAAATGTAGGAGGCCCAGAAA